TGCTCTATCATATATATGTCCTTATGCTGTCCCCTGCTCTATCATATATATGTCCTTATGCTGTCCCCTGCTCTATCATATATATGTCCTTATGCTGTCCCCTGCTCTATCATATATATGTCCTTATGCTGTCCCCTGCTCTATCATATATATGTCTCTATCATATATATGTGTCCTTATGCTGTCCCCTGCTCTATCATATATATGTCCTTATGCTGTCCCCTGCTCTATCATATATATGTCCTTATGCTGTCCCCTGCTCTATCATATATATGTCCTTATGCTGTCCCCTGCTCTATCATATATATGTCCTTATGCTGTCCCCTGCTCTATCATATATATGTCCTTATGCTGTCCCCTGCTCTATCATATATATGTCCTTATGCTGTCCCCTGCTCTATCATATATATGTCCTTATGCTGTCCCCTGCTCTATCATATATATGTCCTTATGCTGTCCCCTGCTCTATCATATATGTATGTCCTTATCATATATATGTCTGTCCCCTGCTCTATCATATATATGTCCTTATGCTGTCCCCTGCTCTATCATATATATGTCCTTATGCTGTCCCCTGCTCTATCATATATATGTCCTTATGCTGTCCCCTGCTCTATCATATATATGTCCTTATGCTGTCCCCTGCTCTATCATATATATGTCCTTATGCTGTCCCCTGCTCTATCATATATATGTCCTTATGCTGTCCCCTGCTCTATCATATATATGCCCTTATGCTGTCCCCTGCTCTATCATATATATGCCCTTATGCTGTCCCCTGCTCTATCATATATATGCCCTTATGCTGTCCCCTGCTCTATCATATATATGTCCTTATGCTGTCCCCTGCTCTATCATATATATGTCCTTATGCTGTCCCCTGCTCTATCATATATATGTCCTTATGCTGTCCCCTGCTCTATCATATATGTCCTTATGCTGTCCCCTGCTCTATCATATATATGTCCTTATGCTGTCCCCTGCTCTATCATATATATGTCCTTATGCTGTCCCCTGCTCTATCATATATATGTCCTTATGCTGTCCCCTGCTCTATCATATATATGTCCTTATGCTGTCCCCTGCTCTATCATATATATGTCCTTATGCTGTCCCCTGCTCTATCATATATATGTCCTTATGCTGTCCCCTGCTCTATCATATATATGTCCTTATGCTGTCCCCTGCTCTATCATATATGTCCTTATGCTGTCCCCTGCTCTATCATATATATGTCCTTATGCTGTCCCCTGCTCTATCATATATATGTCCTTATGCTGTCCCCTGCTCTATCATATATATGTCCTTATGCTGTCCCCTGCTCTATCATATATATGTCCTTATGCTGTCCCCTGCTCTATCATATATATGTCCTTATGCTGTCCCCTGCTCTATCATATATATGCCCTTATGCTGTCCCCTGCTCTATCATATATATGCCCTTATGCTGTCCCCTGCTCTATCATATATATGTCCTTATGCTGTCCCCTGCTCTATCATATATATGTCCTTATGCTGTCCCCTGCTCTATCATATATATGTCCTTATGCTGTCCCCTGCTCTATCATATATATGTCCTTATGCTGTCCCCTGCTCTATCATATATATGTCCTTATGCTGTCCCCTGCTCTATCATATATATGTCCTTATGCTGTCCCCTGCTCTATCATATATATGTCCTTATGCTGTCCCCTGCTCTATCATATATATGTCCTTATGCTGTCCCCTGCTCTTTTATATATATGTCCTTATGCTGTCCCCTGCTCTATCATATATATGTCCTTATGCTGTCCCCTGCTCTATCATATATATGTCCTTATGCTGTCCCCTGCTCTATCATATATATGCCCTTATGCTGTCCCCTGCTCTATCATATATATGCCCTTATGCTGTCCCCTGCTCTATCATATATATGCCCTTATGCTGTCCCCTGCTCTATCATATATATGTCCTTATGCTGTCCCCTGCTCTATCATATATATGTCCTTATTCTGTCCCCTGCTCTATCATATATATGTCCTTATGCTGTCCCCTGCTCTATCATATATATGTCCTTATGCTGTCCCCTGCTCTATCATATATATGCCCTTATGCTGTCCCCTGTTCTATCATATAGATGTCCTTATGCTGTCCCCTGCTCTATCATATATATGTCCTTATGCTGTCCCCTGCTCTATCATATATATGTCCTTATGCTGTCCCCTGCTCTATCATATATATGTCCTTATGCTGTCCCCTGCTCTATCATATATATGCCCTTATGCTGTCCCCTGCTCTATCATATATATGTCCTTATGCTGTCCCCTGCTCTATCATATATATGTCCTTATGCTGTCCCCTGCTCTATCATATATATGTCCTTATGCTGTCCCCTGCTCTATCATATATATGTCCTTATGCTGTCCCCTGCTCTATCATATATATGCCCTTATGCTGTCCCCTGCTCTATCATATATATGCCCTTATGCTGTCCCCTGCTCTATCATATATATGCCCTTATGCTGTCCCCTGCTCTATCATATATATGTCCTTATGCTGTCCCCTGCTCTATCATATATATGTCCTTATGCTGTCCCCTGCTCTATCATATATATGTCCTTATGCTGTCCCCTGCTCTATCATATATATGTCCTTATGCTGTCCCCTGCTCTATCATATATATGTCCTTATGCTGTCCCCTGCTCTATCATATATATGTCCTTATGCTGTCCCCTGCTCTATCATATATATGTCCTTATGCTGTCCCCTGCTCTTTTATATATATGTCCTTATGCTGTCCCCTGCTCTATCATATATATGTCCTTATGCTGTCCCCTGCTCTATCATATATATGTCCTTATGCTGTCCCCTGCTCTTTTATATATATGTCCTTATGCTGTCCCCTGCCCTTTAATAATAGGTCTTCTATCTACAATGGGGCAGAAGGGACACACTTATATGACTTGTAAGTAGACTGCATATAATACCTCATGTATTTTGTACCCAGTAATGGGTGAGGAACATGTGGACGTTAGACAACATAAGGCTTGTGTATTTATTTGTCAGCTGGCCTCAGTTTTTCATGCATTCCAGAGGCAAACACCAGGCCCGTGCACACACCTATCAATTGAACCCATGCCCGTGCACACACCTATCAATTGAACCCATGCCCGTGCACACACCTTTCAATTGAACCCATGCCCGTGCACACACCTTTCAATTGAACCCATGCCCGTGCACACACCTATCAATTGAACCCATGCCCGTGCACACACCTTTCAATTGAACCCATGCCCGTGCACACACCTTTCAATTGAACCCATGCCCGTGCACACACCTTTCAATTAAACCCAGGCCCGTGCACACACCTTTCAAATGAACCCATGCCCGTGCACACACCTTTCAATTGAACCCAGGCCCGTGCACACACCTTTCAAATGAAAAGCATTTCGTGAATAGTTTTAGACGGGACCCATGGTCGTCACATGTCACTGGCTGGCCTATTCACAACCCACGTCGGTCCGCACGGCTCATCAGGTCATGCGAGCTGGAACCTGAGAGGATGCCGCAAGTTTATGAAGCAACTGTATCAAACAAAATGATCACTGTAACGCCCTCCCCCCCATTGCTTTCTGCGACGGTCTCCGAAACCAGACTTATTCAATCAACGAGGACAGACAAGGTCACTTCTAACAACAACATTAACCGGAGCTTCTTTACACTGAGATACTTTATGCCTGAGAGCTTATAACCTGCATTGAACAACACTGGGAAGACGAATCCGCGGACAAGGTGACTGCGCAGTGTCTTGCTGCTGGCATAATTTCAATGGCAACATAATTGATCCTATCCCAGACTCCACTTCACTAACCATGTTGATCCTATCTCTAGCCCCACTCAGACTCCACTTCACTAACCATGTTGATCCTATCTCTAGCCCCACTCAGACTCCACTTCACTAACCATGTTGATCCTATCTCTAGCCCCACTCAGACTCCACTTCACTAACCATGTTGATCCTACCTCTAGCCCCACTCAGACTCCACTTCACTAACCATGTTGATCCTACCTCTAGCCCCACTCAGACTCCACTTCACTAACCATGTTGATCCTACCTCTAGCCCCACTCAGACTCCACTTCACTAACCATGTTGATCCTACCTCTAGCCCCACCCAGACTCCACTTCACTAACCATGTTGATCCTACCTCTAGCCCCACCCAGACTCCACTTCACTAACTATGGTTATAAACAGTGACAGCAAAGGATTTCTGAAGACGTTTCTCTCCTCATTTCTCCTCTTTCGTCCCCTACCTCTCTTGCTTCTCTGTTGCTTCTTTCTTGCTCCCATTTCTTCAGTCCCGTCTCCTTTTGTTGGTGCAACGTCGTCAGTCAAAAGGATTCCTGTCTGCAGATTCAATGAAAGAATTCACAACCTTCTTGGGAACAAGTAATCACACTGCCTCTTCATACTGAGTTGAGTAACCAGATTGACCATGGACACGGAACGCTTCATATGGCATCACAACTATGACATCATAACTAATACTTCATAACTATGACATCATAACTAATACATCATGACTATGACATCAGTTGAAGGCATTAAGTTGTACAACTGACAAGATATTCATTCATATGCATTAACTAAAACATCATAACTAATACACCATAGCTATGACATCATAACTAAGACACCATAGCAATATGACATTATAACTATGACATCATAAATAAGAAATGATGATAGCTCAGGTTGAACACAATAAGAATTGTTCAAAGTTATTCAGCTAAGTTCCAAATCAGTCCCATATGCATTTAAATGGCCTGACAGAATCAGAAAGATCTCAGAGCCAGGGTTAGTTTTGGGCTTAAGGTTAGGTTTAGATACGGAATCAGAAAGTGCTAAGAGTTAGGGTTAGTTTTGGGCTTAAGGTTAGGTTTAGATACCGAATCAGAAAGAGCTAAGAGTCCGGGTTAGTTTTGGGCTTAAGATTAGGTTTAGATACAGGATCAGCAGGAGGAGTTGGTAGCTCAGTGGTGGAGTTCATGCTTTGTATGTATGATGTTTTGGGTTTAATCCCAGCTTCTCCCCAGGTCGCAGTTGCAAATGAGAATTTGTTCTCAATCAGCCTATCTGGTTAACAAAAAAACCAATATAGAGCTCAGCGTCAGGGATAGTTTTAGGCTTAATGTTAGGTTTTTAATCTTAAATTTGGGTTTTTAGGCTTACGGTTAGATTTTAAGGGGTTTGGTTTATATGGGATATTGTGTTAGGTCCCCATAAGGATAGTAAAGAACATATCAAAGTGACTGGCACTCACGGTGTCCCTATTATTAAAGGTATTGTCAGATCGGTACCTCATTCAGATGTATGTGCACACACTGGAAAAGAGCAAATCCTCTTCAGATGCTTTATGGGAAAACTCCTGGGAGACGTGTAAAACCATGGTTTTATTAAAGACCACTTAGGCCATGTTTATGACCCCAAGCGAACACTTCCAATGGGTTTATTTAGGCATAACAGATGCAGCATCTTATTTTGAACCTGATGTTACAGCAACTGCACAATTTAACTGTTTTATGGGATTTCATGCGATTTCACACTTCTGTTTGTCGGGGCAAATGGATAAAAATGTAACTGGTAAATCACAGTCTTTAAACATTTAATGCACAAGGCGTATTTATTTGTAAAATGTGTTTTCATTTCTCCTGAGCGTGAAGATTCCTGCAGAAACAGGATGGTCAAATGAAGACACAGCAGCTGTGTATTGGTTTATGTATAAAGTGTATAAAAACAGTAGTAGAATAGCTATTAGCTGTTTGTCTGTGAGAGGACGTCAAGGAGAAATAAACTCGTCCTCAGATCTATCCATCCTTCAACCTGATAATGGATCTCTTTCCTTTCCCAAATCCTCTATAAAGTACAGCGAGATGCTAAAAAAGATTCATCGCACCGGCTTCAAACCTCCCAGCGTGGCCCTCAAAATGGCCGCCAGTGCGCCATGACATCATTGAGTTGAATGGGGGATGCTTGTTCCATTCTATTTATGTGACAGGCTCTAGATCTTCTTAACATTTCTTACCCACAATCCCTAGTAAAGGGATCAACACTCACTTTAACCATGAGGTCTCTCTGCTTTCATAGCCCCGGCTTTAATTGCTTTGAAACTCGGCGCTCACCTCCGGGAGCTCGACAGGCATGTTTTACAGAGCGTTCGGGAGACGGCCATTAATAAATAATACCAGGTTGCCCTCTCAGCCTTGTGCCACTGCAGAAAAATTAAGAGGAGGAGAAGATAGAGGGAGAAAGAGAGCAAAAGGGGGGGTCAGAGGGAGAGAGAATGAGAGAGAGAGGGTAAGGGAGAGAGGGGGGAGGGAGAGGGAGGGAGAGAGGAGAGGGAGAGAGGGGGAGAGAGAGAGAGGAGAGGGAGAGAGAGAGGGGGGAGAGAGGAGGAGAGAGGAGGAAAGAGGAGAAGAGGGAGAGAGAGAGAGAGAGAGAGAGAGGGAGAGAGAGGAGGGAGAGGGAGAGGGGGAGGGACAGGGAGAGGGAGATGGAGAGAGGGAGAGAGAGGGAGAGGGAGAGAGAGGAGGGAGAGGGGGAGAGAGAGGGAGAGGGAGGGAGAGGGAGGGAGAGATAACACTAACAGACATTAGTCCAGATTTTAGTTCTTCAGTATGACATGATTCTTCTTGTTGGGAATAGAGATAACAGAATGGGATTGAGTTGATCCTCTAAAGACATTGATTTATGATCGCTTATGTGTCTTCACTAGATGGTTTGGATTGGGAGAAGACCAGGATCTGCAGATCGTTGACATGATTACCTAGGAATAAAGTCCTCACACCTGAGAAGTAGCCAGGTTCGACTGGTTAGGCGAATTATAACACTGGCAAGAACTGAAATTGATCCGTAGCGACTAATTGAATCCGCACATGCAATGGGTAGACTGGCCGGCCATTATAAACCATTTTCTTATTCTCTGTGTGTTCACTTTAGCCATTCTGAGGTCATTAATTAGCTGCCTACTGTGGCAGCACCTGTAGCAAATTGGCCGTGAAACTCGCATAATTAGCCAAGCACAGTCCAATTCAACCTTAAGAGCCTTCAATATTTCAACAACAATCGTGTCTGTACTGCATATCAAAGGGATCAGGTGTTTAGCAGGATGTTAACCCATTAACAATTGCCAGGCAGTGAGACGTGAGACCTCGCCTATTGGCGAGAGGGAGATTTTTTTTAATGTATTAAAAATATTTAACACAATTTTTTAATTCCTTATGAATATTTTAGGATTTTTTTTTGACACACGTAGGCTTTTATTACGTGTATTTTGGATTTTAATTTCATTATTTTGAGGTCTAATCAACACAGGTTCGGAAGTTACGTTGTCAACATCAGGCAGGCAGTGATCGCCAAGTAAAGAGCTTTCCCGAATCCCGCTCGTTCCATACAGCAACAGACAGACTCGTACATTTAAATAATCGAATAACAGAAACGATGAGTAAAATGTCACAGAAACAGAAATGGATTTCGATTTCTTTGAAAAACCACCACCAGTGAAAAAACCTACTAGTACCACAAAAATGACAACGGAGAGTAGCCTGAGTGAGGAGACTGTCCGCCAGCCTCTACCTGCAGTTGCACCGGCAGGCCCAGCCCTAGCACCCGCAACCCAACCTACTAGCGTGATTGGATTAGACGAGCCCTTTCAGCCAACATCTAGTTTAAAATTTCCTGCCCGGCATTGTGGTAATGAAACGTTATCACGATCTGTGGCACCAGCTTAGCTTGGTTTGCTAGATGGCAGTGGCTGCATTATGTGGAAGAGACCATATTTTCATATCAGATCATATTTTGTGTTTTGTTTGCCTAAAAGCAGTCGGAAAAAAGTAATAGGCTACCTAGAGATAAATTTGAGAAAGACAACACAATGCCGGCTTTTCAAATTGGCGTAAAGCTACTGAAACTCCCTGGACATTCGTCCCCTCATGAGATACTTTATCTCCACAACTCCAGAGCGCACCTCGACATTTGGACACCTGTAACCAGGGCACCATGCCTGTAGCTCAAAATAAGAGAATGGTGCCGCCGCGCTTGTAGCATTTATTTTTTAGACAACAAGTGGGATCAGCTTTGACTAGCCAAGCAATTGTAAGTACTACATTTTATTATTTTTGCAAGTTGGTGGGGACAGAAAGTGTTATTTTGTAAGTGTGTTCTTTAGGTATGGATGTGGAGATTGGAGAACTGTTTAAACGTGCTTAAATAGTCAGAGATTATTTCCTTGTGGTGTGCGTAAAAGGATTTTTGAGCTAATATAGTTGCGTCACTTGCGTGTGACATATACGTGCAGTGACTCAGGTTCATGCCAGCTGACCAAATCGATTGCATTGTTATAGCGTTATTGTGAAGTTTCATTAATATTATTATATGTTGTATGTAAATATGTTGTATGTATTTCTGGAGTTGTAACAAAAGTAATTCCACCCTGGGATTACTAAAGTGTTTCTGATTCTGCTTCTGATTAATAGCGCATATATTCATCTGAGCTGATGATGTCTGTGTTTCAGACCCTGGCTGTGTGCACTGAAGTCAGTGTATATGGCAATAAAGAAGTGAATCTCAATGTATTTATTTTTAAGATGTATTTTAAATAGGCCTGTGGCTCATATAGTTTTTTTGTAAAAAAAATAAAAATCACAGCACCCCCTGTTCAAAATTACTTCCAGCGGCCCTGAACGTGTGTGATGATGGTCATGTTGTCTCTAGCTGGGTGACAGGTGATGAAGACAGCTTGGGCTAATTGTCCTACTAATTGTAACTATCCACAACGAAAGACAATAATAAACTAAACGAAACAATTTTAGTTTAGCTTTAATTTTTCCCCGCATTCTTGTCTTTAGAACAGGTCGACTCTTTCTGGCCAGAGGTGGAGTTATGGTGCCATTACGTATTAAATTCACCAGGGGCATGTAGAAATAGTTGTATTACGAAATGCTAATATGGACAGGACGTGAGAGGGCTGGAGGAATAATGGGAAATGATAGAGAGCTAATAGAACACGATAGTGATGCAGAAAGGATGGAGAAAGGATGGAGACGTGATGGAGAATGGAGGAGGCTTAAAAGAGGATTAATGGTTTGGAGATCAGTAATGATAGAACAGTGATTTTGGACTGATTAAATAGTGATAGTAAATAGATAAAGTGACAGAGGACCAACGGGCGGGGAGCTTCAATCAATCACGTATATTGGTTTTAATTTTGAAGATGTTGTCAAAACTATATCGTACAATCACACAGAGCTGTCCTAGAATTTGCAAATTGCTCCAAACTGTTTTGTATTTCCAGAGCCACATACACTCCGATCCAAATATCCTACCACCACAATCAGAGCCAAATACACTCCGATCCAAATATCCTACCACCACAATCAGAGCCAAATACACTCCGATCCAAATATCCTACCACCACAATCAGAGCCACATACACTCCGATCCAAATATCCTACCACCACAATCAGAGCCACATACACTCCAATCCAAATATCCTACCACCACAATCAGAGCCACATACACTCCGATCCAAATATCCTACCACCACAATCAGAGCCAAATACACTCAGATCCAAATATCCTACCACCACAATCAGAACCAAATACACTCCGATCCAAATATCCTACCACCACAATCAGAGCCACATACACTCCGATCCAAATATCCTACCACCACAATCAGAGCCACATACACTCCGATCCAAATATCCTACCACCACAATCAGAGCCAAATACACTTCGATCCAAATATCCTACCACCACAATCAGAGCCACATACACTCCGATCCAAATATCAGACTCTAACGATGTGATGACTTTTTACAACTCGCCTTCACTTCTAGTGGTCCTCTTTAACGGACACTTTCAGTCTCTCATTTGTTATTCCCAGGTGTGTTTGTGTAACTAAATTGACCTCTACATTTCGGTGTGTGTGTGCCCGTTGGGTCTGTTCACCGCCCGTTTCACGTCTCACCGCTCTAATGGAGACCAATCAAAGATGAACGGTTGGTTCACTTTAGCGCTTTATTAGGTATCG